ATTGTTTTGAGCCCTAAAATTCTGAATGTAAAATCTGTCAAAATTTAGAAATTTTTCTTATAACTTCAGTATATTAGGTGTACCTTAGACATCAGTACATATTTCCAAATGCTTGATACTTTTTTTTTCTAAATTTGAATTTTAAAAGACTTAATTTTTAAAAGCAATGCTTTTGCTGAGGTTATTCTTTCATTTTTGAAAACATAAAGCAGCCCCTCCCCATCCACAGGGGATGTGATACTTTCCAAGAACCTCAGTGAATGCCTAAAATCGTGGATAGTATGGAGCCCTAATTGTGCTCTGTTCTTTCCTATACATATATATATGTGTGTATGATAGTGTTCAATTATGAATTAGATATGAAAGCAACAAAAACTAATAGTAAACTGGAACAGCTATAGTATTATATACTCTTTTTTTTTTTCTTTTTCCTTTTTTTTTGTCTTTTTGAGACAGTGTCTCCCTGTAGCCCTAGCAGGCCTGGAACTATGTAGACCAAGCTGGCCTCAAACTCTCAGAGATCCACCTGCCTCTGCCTCCCAAGTGTTGGGACTAAAGGTGTGTGCTACCACGCCTGGCTTATACTCTTAATAAAATTGCCAGCATCACTACTCTTGAACTTTGGGGCTCCTATTTAGTAAAATAAGGACTATTTGAGCATAAGCACTGCTAGACTATGGCAGTCAACCTGATAATTGTGACTACTACTAAGTCAATAAAGAGTGGGGGTTGTATCCATCATGGCTATGCTAGACCAAGAGGTGATTCACTATGTGGGTGGATGGAACATGATGATACAAGATTTCATCACACTATTCTATTACACAATTTAAGACATAAATTGTTGAGCTGGGTGTGTAAAGCTCAGTGGGAGAGCATGAGCTTACCATGTAGGAGGTCCTGGGCTCAGTCTCCAGCACTCTACTGTCCAAATGGGGAAAAACTCGTATAGATTGTTAAATTGTTTTCCGTTTAATATTTTCTGACTGTGATTGGGCACAGATAACTGAACTATGGAAAGTTAAAACATGGCTAGTAGGGGACTCTGTATGGCACCTGACTCCTGAGACTTTCATCTTCTAGGTTTATTCTTCACACAGATCTTGTGCCTGTACTTTTAATCTATGCTGTCAACTAATAGCACCAACAAATTGGAGCATCAACATTGTAGACACTGGAAAATACATTACTGGAATATAAGAGACTTAGAGAAATGTGGTAGAAAAGGAAAGAGGGGTGGGTATCAGCCTGTAAGAACTCAGCACTGGCTTACTGTGTATTGTTAGCAGAGAAGTGAATGGTTTTGCTATGTAGGTGTTTTACTGTTTTTTAAATCAGAAGTTATTTGTTAAAACTATATATTCCTCTTTAAAATACATGCATATATGAACACACACACACACACACACACACACCTACCTTTTTATACTTTTCAAAATTTTGGCCTTAATAGCGATTGGGCAAGGGTGGCTCTTTAGACTCTCAGGTGAAAATTAATGCTAGGAAGAAAGCTGCTGAGAATACATGGATTAGTGTCAGATGCGTTGGAATAATTTCTTCCTTCTTTCCTTTCTTACCTTTATACACACACACACACACACACACACACACACACACACACACCACAGGATTGGAGCTCTTAGGACAGCTTGTGGGAGTCCGTTCTCTCCTTCCACTACGTGGATTCCAGGGATAGAACTCGGGTCATCAGACTTAATAGCAAGTGCTTTTTCCCATGAAACCATCTCACTTCGAATAATTTCTATTAGCTGGCCTGGAATAATTTCTGTTAGCTCATTTTGCAGTTATTTTCCTGTGTTATCACTTATTTTTTAAAAAATATTTTATTTATAGCTGAGTGTGGTGGCACCCGCCTTTAGTCCCAGCACTTGGGAGGCAGAGGCAGGCGGATCTCTGTGAGTTCAAGGCCAGCCTGGTCTGTATAGCAGTTCCAGGACAACTGGGGCTACAGGGAGATCCTGTCTCGAACAAAAACAAAACAAAAAATTTTTATTTATTATTTTCATTTTATGTGTATGAGTGTATTACCTGCATGTAGGTAGGTGGGTGCACCCGTGTCATCAGAAGAGGATTTCGGATCCCCTGGAACTGGAGTTATGGATGATTGTTAGCCCCCATGTAGGTGCTGAGAATTGAACCCAGGTCTTCTGCAAAAGCCACCAGTGCTCTTAACCGCTGAGCCATCTCTCCAGCCCCCGTGTCATCACTTCTTGATAATATTCTTTAGAAATTATTTTCTAAATTGGGAAAATATTTATCTATAATTTATAAAATTTGGTTTCAAGACTTTCCAGACTAAAACCATAGGTTGAAAGTGGACAATAATTTTTTGTGTTCGTTTTGAGGTACTTAAAATGTGTTCTGGTTTTTTTCCCCCCCTGATCAGGGCTAGGACAGGTGAGAATGGGTATTACCCTTATCTGTTATGTATTTTGAAAGGTTTCTGGGGAGAATTCAGTAACTCTTTAGTTGTTACAAGGTTTAAAGAATCAAATTCAGCCCTAAGCAGCCAGAAACAATGCCCAGAAACACACTGTATGATTCCTGTGAGGTTGCCAGTGCCATCTACAGAGACAGACAGCCGCCACAGCCTGCCCCAGTGATACTGCTGGCTCTGGATAACTCTAAATGCTTCCACCACTGCCCCAGACTTGACCTTGCTATAATTGCTCTAACATTAGTACAAGAACAAGTTCCTTTTCTCTACTTTTCTTGTTCATTTTGTTGCCCATTCTTACCCTGGGCTAGACATATGTTTGGTAAATCATATGTTATGGATGTGTAGGAAATTGGGGAAAGTATTAGCCTTCTAAAACCATATGATGAATAAAATTCTCAAAGTGGGAAAGTCTTCTAAAATAATAAGATAGGGAAAGTTTAAGCAGGCAACCAGAATGATGGCAGTTCACTGTATCTGAGGCTTGACTTTGTTAAATCTTCACTATGTACCAGGAACTGTGCTGTTTATAAACATTATCCTGTGTCATTCTTAGAGTATTGGCCTTATTAACTAATCATTTTAGAGTTGAAGAGGTGAGTGAAAGTGACTTGCTCGAGATCAGACAGTTAAGTCATAGCAGAGTTGGAATTTAGAAAAAAAAAAATCAAAGCTGTAACTCTAAAGCCAGTGTTTATAACTAGTGTGTTAAACTAATTTTTTGTTGTTGTTGTTTTTTCTTGGTATTTTAGCTCAAATTTCTTTAAGTCTAGGCAGCTTTCCTTTGAGAAGCCCACACCCATGTTCTTGGGTGTGTCCTACTTTCTTCTGAATACCTTCCTCTTAATCCTGTTCTTAAAGACTATATTAAAATCTCTTAATAAACTCCAGCTCTGTTTGTAACAAAAGATTTTATAAGTCTGTTGAATCTACTGTTTATTAAAGTACTCTGTATGGCATGTGTATGAATTTAGGAGTGCTAAAGAAAGTTGAATATGAAACTGGAGAGATGACTCAGCGATTAAGAGCACTGGCTGCTCTTGTAGAGGACCCAGTTTCAATTCCCAGCACCTACATGGTGACTAACAATCATCTGTAACTCCAGTTTCAGGGGAATCCATTGCCCCCTGACCTCCATGGGCATTGTACAACACAGGTGCACTTACATACATGCAGGCAATACATTCATATACCTAAAACAAAAATAATAAATACATTTTTTGTTGTTGTTGTTGTTGTTTTGGTCTTTTTGAAGCAGGGTCTCCTCTGCCTCCCAAGCGCTAGGACTACAGGCGTGCGCCACCACGCCCAGCATAAATATTTTTTTAAAAAGAAAGTTGAAGCCAGGCATGGTGGCGCATGCCTTTAATCCCAGCACCCTACAATCTAGGCAGAGGCAGGCGGATCTCTGTGAGTTCAAGGCCAGCCTGGTCTACATAGTGAGTTCCAGGATAGCTGGAGCTCCAGGGAGACCCTGTCTCAAAAAGACCAAAAAAAAAAGAAAAAAAGAAAAAGAAAGTTGACTATTTGTGGCTTTCATTTACTTTATGATAGCATGTTGCCTATGTAGTCCAGGATAGCCTGGAACTTGTAGCCCTGATCTTTCAGAGAGCTGGGATTAGAGGCATGTGCAACCATGCCTGGCTTTCATCTATCTTAAATTTTTTTTTTTTTTTTTTTTAGTGATCGGTTGTTTAATCCCAAAATATGAGTCTTCTTTGGCCTTCTTCTTTTTCAGATGTCACCTATAATCTTTCAGTAAACCTATTCAGTCTACCCTCAGATATGACCAAACTTGGCCCATGTTGACTGCTTCTTACCATCTCCAGCCCCCTGCTCTCTGCTTTGAATTAGTGTAGTGAGTCTAACTCATTTCCCTGAATCCAACTTTCTTCCTACAGAGTCTATTTTGAACAAACCACGAGAGGAATTTTTCAAAATGTTAAGATGTCCCTTATAGTAAAAAGCAAAAGCTTTCAATGCCTTGGATACAACCACATCCCAAATCTCACTTACTTCTGTCCATTTTGCTCATTGCACTTTGTCATTTTGAAGTTTTGCTGTTTCCCTCT